TGGCTTTAGTGGTTGGTGCATAAATTTGAATAATAGTGGTATTAACTGGTCTTCCCTGTAGGTGCATGGATATTATCCTATCACAGACAGCGCTGTACCAGGGCTCATTAAACAGATAAGCAGTAGTAAATTAACTTTCTTTGGCTACTATCCAATAGGGTAGGAGTCCTGGTGTGGTGCTGTGGGTTAATGCACCAGACTTCAATGTCGTTTGAACTGTAAGTTTGGTGGTTTAAGCTCACCAGCTTCTCCTCAGAAACCCTATACAGGGCCGCTATGGGTCAGAACCGACTCGAGGGCACTTAACAACAACAACAAGGCAATGGGGTGGCTGTTCTTGTAGTTTCTTAATTGTGTTTTATGTTTTCAGAAATTGGAGTTCATGTGAAAAGTCTATGAAAGAAAAAAAAATAGAATCCTGGAAGAAAGTGTGCATTAATAATTTAAGGGAATAACATAGGTATTATATTTGTTCTATTTTTTTTTTATCTTTACGTCTAAAAGAATAACTGTATAATGAATGGAACCTATCTTTCATGATATTTTATCATATATTACATTTATGTAAAGAGAATGTACCATACATAACTATCCAGCACAAATCTCCTAGATATTCCAGTAAACCTCTGTTATTTCTGAGCGTTCTAGAAATGCTTCAAAAATGAGTTTAATCCTGCATCCTATTTAGGTATGAAGAGAGCAACTTGAAAGACTGTCATCTGTTCTTCAAACTTCCCACGACTTTATAACATGTTATTAAGTGCCCTAGCCACGCAACCGAACATATGGCTGGTGGGTTTGAAACAGTGACCTTGCGGTTAGCACTCCAGTGCTTATCTCACAGCGCCACCCAGAACTCTGCTTTATACCACATTAATGTGTACTCTAAAAGTGAGTGTCCAAGTCCGTGTCTGCTCTAATATTGTATCTAGTATTTGAGTTTTGTTGTGGCACTGTGCATTAATGCACTAGACTGCAAAGTCGGTTTGAACCACAAGGTTGGTTCAAACCAGTCACTCCTAAGAAACCTTATACAGGGTTGTTATGGGTCGGAACTGACTCGATGGCACTTAACAACAACATTCGATAGGCAAAGAGATTTCCCAGCACTTGGAGAAAATGTGGACAGGATTTTTAATCATCAAGACTGTATTAAACCTCATGTGTGCTCTTCCTGAAAAAATCGACTTGTCTCCTCGCTCTGGAACTCACATTATTAAAACCACACTGCATTCCAAAAGCACAGAACTACTTTGGGGGCATGATCCAACAGATCTCTATCTTCAGATTTGCATTTTCCTCTTATTTTCTCCCAGAAATCAAAGATCCAGTGCCATTTCACTTAATATTTGCCCTTTGGCCCCCCGACCTGAGGTTCCTCCGAGTCTCCTGGGACAGAAATGCTACTTCAGTCCGGGGAAAACAGATGGCAGGTCTTTGAAGGAAAGGTGAGACCGCAGAGAACAGAAGGGCTGGGGGAGGCGTCTGAAACGACCTGACTCAGGACTTGAACTCCAGCGAGCTGACTGGGGCCCAGCTTCCCAGCCCTCTGCCCAACACGGGCCGGCTCCATGCTAAACCGGTCATGTGAGCCTGTTTACAGCGAGTAGCTGGTGCAACCAGCAGGATCAGTGCTGAGGTTCGGGGAGTTACGAGAATACAGGCCACACACCCACTGTCAGCCCCTTGACCCCCACCCCAATCTACCAGGAAGACGCTCGCCGGACCCCCTGCCTCTGTACCCCACTTTCCTCTCCCCTCCAAGCAGAGCACTGAGCCGCCTGAGCCATCCAGGGCGCTCACTCCTGCCCTGCCAGGTCCCTTCCAGTCGCTCGCTGGGGGGATCGGCTGGACTGGAGGGCGAAGGAGGAAGGGCGAGGACGGTGTCACCCCGAACAGGCAGGCAACCTCCCTCCCCCAGCCCTGCTCGCAATGTCCGCCAGAGAGTTGTCCCCGGAGCTGGATCCCAGGGCAACCGAACTCCGGCGCAACCGCCCAGAGGAACCGGAGCCGGGGCGAGCCCCACCCCAGCCGGCAGCCGGGCACAGCGGCGGCCGCGGACTCGCAGACTTGGGCAGCCAGGACCCCTCTGCTAGTGTCCCTGGCCGCCGCCGCGCGGGGTGTTGTCAGCGCGCGCCAGCGGGGACCCGGCCGCCCTGGCCGCGGGTCTGTCGGCCACGTAACTTCCACGTCTGCCCCAAGTCGGAGGAAGTGGGTGACTGGACGGTGGGGGATTCTCACCTTGGCAACACCGACTCCTCGGAAAGCAGCTGCGACTGCTCCTCCGCTCCTTTGTCAGCTTCTCTAGGCTGCACTGCCTGCTGGGATACCGGAGGACTCAAATGCCACCGCTCTCAGCCCAAGAGGATGAGCTGCAGAGGGAAGAGGGGGAAGGGGTGGAGCTGGGGGTGGGGCCAGGGAGGGGCCTCGTGGTTGCCACCTGGCTTTTGGGGGTTCTTCCTTCTATGAGCTTCCAACTTCTTGTTTCACTATCCTCAGATCTCCGCTCCCCTATGCGCTTTCCTCAAGGAGACTAGAGACTCCTACAAAAGGCCCTCTCTCTGCACTTGGTAAAGCGGCGTCCTTTGACTCCTCCCCTATCTCACTCCCTAATCCCATACAGACAAACACTCATCCAATGAGTAACCAAGGCTAGTTGATTTACCCTTGACACTTGCCTTGATCACCTCCTCCGCTCCATCCTCTGCGCCTCAGACTGTTTTGGTCCACCTCAAGGTCGGTTTGAGCAGTAAGGATGGAGGTTCAAACCCACCAGCCGCTCCTTAGAAACCCTATACAGGGTCGCTATGAGTCGGAACTGACTTGCAACTGATTTAACAACAGCAACAACTTTTGTCTTCTTGGACTGATGCAGCAGCCTCCTGATGGTTGGACTCTCTTCTTCCACTTTTGTCTATGTCTAACCCATCTCTCAGAGAGCAGCGAGGGGTCTAGCCAAGATGGGTACGTGACCTTATTACTACTGCTTTACTGAAAACCTTTCAATGTCCCCGCAGTATCAATCTTTATCTCACTAATCCTTGCCTGATGCACCCAATACTCTAGCCCAGTAAACTGGCCATTTGTGGAAGGGAGCTCAACCAGCCCCGACTGCCCCAAATATTTCCCCTTAAAAGGAGATTGCCCTGTTAGTAATTTTCATAGTTCCCTTGAAGACCCCTTACAGCTAGAATTTTCAAAATGTAATGATGATGTTCAGAAAGGAAAAGTAAAGCGCAGCATCCACCGAATCCCTCCCTACAAGTATGTTGTTCTTGTTGAGTACCGTAGAGTCGGTTCCGACTCATAGCGACCCTGTATAGGGTTTCCGAGGCTGTAAATCTTTATGGGAGCAGAACGCTTCATCTTTCTCCCGCGGAACGGCTGGTAGTTTCGAACTGCTGACCTTAAGGTTAGAAGCCCGATTCGTAACCACTACGCTGCCAGAGTATGTTGTTGTTGCTGTTATATGCCGTGGAGTCGGTTCCGACTCATAGAGACCCTGTACAGGGTTTCCGAGGCTGTAAATCTTTACGGGAGCAGAAAGCCTTATCTTTCTCCCGCGGAACAGCTGGTAGTCTCGAACTGCTGACCTTGCGGTTTGCAGCCCTATTCGTAACCACTACACTACCAGAGTTCCTTTGCCAGAGTATGTTGTTGTTAAGTGCCGTCGAGTCGGTTCTGACCCATAGCGACCCTGCATAGGATTTCCAAGGAGCGACTGGTGAACTTGAACCACCGAGCTTGTAGTTCAAATGGCTTTGCAGTCTGGCTCATTAACTCACAGCGCCACACGATAAGGCCCCCAAAATTCTCCCCGGTTGCCCTATCTACCTCGTGTCAATGGTGGTTTGTGCATTGCTCTGATGCTGAACAGGTTTCAGCAGAGATGCCAGCCTAAGATGGAGTAGGAAGAAAGGCCTGGCTATGTATTTCAGAAAATCAGCCAATAAAAAACCCTATGGATCACAATGAGTATATTCATAACAGTAGGACTAAGCAGCATCTCATCCCATTGCACATGGGATCACTGGGCAATTAGCAACAACAACAGCCCTATCCAAGCAATGGACTACCAATAAGTTAGTAGGCTCAGGCCTTGGATGTCTTTGCTTAGAGATTTCCTGAATTTATTATGCCCTTTTTTGTCTGTGCAGTACCTACCTATCCTTCAAGGCCTAGTGGAAATAGCACTTCATCCAATAAACCTTCCAGGGTCGTCTATGAGAACCAGCTACTCCTGACCCATCACCACACAATGTTGCTTATTCTGCTAGGCAATTCTTCCTGACTTAGGTAATCATTACTTGTGTCTATGTCTTCCTTCCTCTCCTACCTAGACTATGAATACCTCAAAGTCATCCCATAGCTCCTAGTACAGTGCCTGACTCAGAAAAGACAGCAAAGCAACTTGATGCAATGAAATTAAAGCATTTCTCTCCGCTGCATTGGAGATTCTAAATAGAAGGGAAAGGAACCTAGGCCAGGCCTCTTGCAACCACCCTCCCTTCACTAGGACATCTCTATCTTGACCTGGGCACGTGTTGTTTTTGCAAACACAAACTAGTTAGGCAGCAGAGCATTGCAAAAGTACCAGACCTTGTACTCTTCCCTTGCAGGTCAGACTGGTTTGTGGCACAATATGTGGTTGTGGAAAATATAACTGGTACAGCTCACATGAGAATCCAGTGTAGAAAGAGTTCGTGGCATGGACTGAGTTTCCAAATGCAGACATGGCTCTTACCTGTGGGAGACCTTTGGCTTCTGTTTACCTCAGGTTACCTTTGTTCTCCACATCCTTTTAGATGTATACGTCTGTTATAAAAAGTGTTCTTTTGCAATTGTGGACATCTTGCTTTGTGTTGTTCATATGTGCTTTCATGCATATTTGTTTTATTTTCAATTATATTATAACCTACCCTCTGATGGTGGTGTTTCCTCATCTCTAAAACAAGGACAAGAATCCTTGACCTGCCTACTTCCCCAGGCTGTTAGAGGTTCTAACACTGAGCTCAGATGGATCTTGACTAAAAGCAGAGGTTAACGGAAAGATGTTTACCTGTGCTTTATTGACTTAGAAAAGGCATTTAACTGCGTGGGTTGTAGCAAACTAATGGATAACATTGCGAAAAATGGGAATTCCAGCACACTTAAATTGTGCTTTAGTGGAACATGTACATAGATCAAGAAGCAGTTATTAGAACAGGACAAGGAGATACTGCGTGGTTTAAAGGGGATGCTGCATGGTTTAAAATTAAGAAGGGTGTGCGTTAGTGTATCCTTTCACCATACTTATTCAATTTGTATGCTGAGCAAATAATCTAGGAAGCATGACTATGTGAAGAAGAATGCAATATCAGGATTGGAGGAAGAATCATTCATTAAGAGTCTACATATCACAAATGATGCGACCTTGCTTGCTGAAAGTGAAAAGAACTTGAACCACTTGCTGATGAAGATCAAAGACTACAGCCTTCAGTATGAGAAGTAGCATAAAGAAAACAACAACAAAAATCTTCACAATCAGACCAATACACAATATTGTAATAAACAGAGAAATTATTGACATTGTCAAGGACTTATTTGTACTTGGATCACAATCGCTACCTATTGAAGCAATAGCCACAAGCCAAACAGCATATTACAGTGGGCAAGTGTGCTGAAACAGACCTCTTTGCAGTGTTAAAGGGGGGGGAAACTTGTTACTTTGAAGACTAAGGTACACCATGGTATTTTCAATCATTTCACATACACGTGAAAGCTGGACCAGTAGATAAGGAAGACCACAGAAGAACTGATGCATTTGAATTATGGTGATGAAGAATATTGACTATTCTATAGACTGTCAAAAGATCAAACACATCTGTCCTAGAAGAAGTACAGCCAGAATTTTCCTGAGAAGCAAGGATAGAGAAAATTTGTCTCTCAGACTTTGGACATGTCATTAGAGGGGCCAGTCCATGGAGAAGGACATCATGCTTGGTAAAGTACAGAATCAATGAAAAAGAGGAAGACCCTCAATTAGACGGATTGACACAGTGGCACAACAACACTGCTGGACTGGGAAGTGTTTCATTCTGTTGTACATAAGGTTGCTATGATTTGGAACTGACTCCAGGACACCTAACAACAAAAGTGTGGTACCACCACTCGGTCATCAATTCGTCATACTATAGTGGCTTGTGTGTTACTATGAGACTGGAAGCTATGTCTCTGGTATTGCAAATATCAGCAAGGTCACCCATGAGGGGTAGGTTTTTGAAAAACTTCTGACAGTCTTCCAAGGAAAATCTTATGGATCACACAAAATAGTGTCCAGTATAGTGCTGGTAGCGTAGCGGTTACGAATCGGGCTGCAAGCCGCAAGGTCAGCAGTTCGAAACTACCAGCTGTTCCACAGGAGGAAGATAAGGCTTTCTGCTCCCGTAAAGATTTACAGCCTCAGAAACCTTGTACAGGGTCGCTATGAGTTGAAACCGACTCCACGGCACATAACCAGCAACCATAGTGTTGGAAGATGAGTCCACAAATTTGGAAGGAACAACAGTCATGACAATTGTGTAACTGGACAATGATTTATTCAGTAATACATAAGGTGGCCATGAATTAGAGCCAACTCAATAGCAACTAACATGATAATGTACACGGTATATGTGATGATGCAAGCTATAGGATGCTCTTCAAAAATGACATCTATTTTATTGCATTTTTACTCTAGGGTTTAAATGTGTGTGTCTGAGATTTCCCAATGTGAATAAAAACCTTTATTGTTAATTCCTAGGGACTTTGGTTTCCCAAATTTGCCTGAGGATAAGAATCACCTGGAACTCTTGTTAATAACATCACCAAGGACCACATTGGTCTATCGATGAGTAGGAGGAAGTGGGGGAAAAACAGCAAAGAAATTGTGAGCTAAGTCCCACCACATTCACTAGACTACTGTCATCCCGAGTTGAGACCTGGTTGGCCAGCAGTATGGCGAGACCTGGGGACTCCTGGGCCCAGGGACAGGGACATAGCCACAGAGGACTAGAGTGGAGAGTGAAGCGTCCAGATGATATGAAGTGAGGGGAGAACACCCACACTTGCAGATAGTATCCACTTGACCTGGATTCAATGGCTAGATGATCAGAACTCGACTAGAGGAAGAAAGAAGAGGGGAAAAAGAGTACTCTGCTACAATTTAATGAACTTGACCTATATTTATGGACGTAGTAGCTCAAAAGAGGGAACAAATCTTTACAGCGAGGATCATTCCCACCCCCTCAGTACACAGGG